TTCTGCCCCTGCGGCTTATGGCTATGTCTTCTGCTTTATTTCTTATCTCATTTAGAGAGTGAGCTCCCCAAGAACGGCACTGTCTCCTTTCTCTGCCTTTCTTCTCATAGTGATTCCAACAAGGTTTTGTGTACAAGATGCTGAAAACTTAGGTTTCAAACCATCCTCCCTAAGGCTTGTACACCTGGCTTAATGCCAGTTCCGTCCCTCTGTCGGGAACCGGGAAGGGAGGGGGCCCTGGATGAGGCGGGGCTGCAGGTCAGAGGGGTCACAAAGAGCTCTCTGTACTCCCCCCACAGAGCATCTGTCGAATGCTATCAGGAAAACCTGCCATCTTAAAAAAAAACACCCCGAACGAGGCATCTTCTTTCAGACAGTTACTTCAGAGAACCGAGTCTGAATCGATTCTGTAGGTCCACAGGACGTGGTGAGAGAGGCCAAGACGGCCTTTTCAGAACCAGCCAGGCACCCCAGGGAGGGGTCAGTGCAGTCCCGGGTGGCAGTGACTGCTTCTAGAAAGGCCAGCTGCTTCTCCCCTCCCGCACACACCCAAGGCCCAGTGTCTTTCTGGAGCAGCTCCTGATTTCAGACGTCTGTTCCAGGATTGCTTGGCTCAGCAGGAGCGCCCTCCCGCTCATTCCCAAAGAAGACAGTCACCATGGCAGCTGGCGTGCCTACTGTGTGCCAGGCGGTTCCCGCCGTTCCCGCCCTTCGTCCTCACAGCTTTCAGCTGAACATCTTTGTTTTAGGTGTGAAGATGAAGGCTAAATACCCTAGCCGCCACAGTTAGATGAACACCAGGGTGCTCGGGGAGTAGAGCTGGGTCTGGTTCCAAGGCTCAGGGTGGGAAAACACTAGTTGTTTTGAAGGTGCACTCCAAGGATTCCCTAGAAGCTTCCCAGTGGTTAGGGTTTCCACACGCTTTGGCTAAAATAGCCACACATATGTCTGTTTTGCGTATTGGAGTTTCATGAACTAAAAATACATGTGAACCACATGCTACGCTGCCCTGCTCTCTTCCTGGACTTTCTAAGAATCAACATCCTTCTAATCCACTCTCCCTGGCATGTCCCTTGGGGCCCAGCAGAAAGGAATTGCCTTAAATGAGAAACGGTGGTGGTGTGGACCAATTTCCCAGCTCAGCCACGAGGCTTGGGTCTGTTACCTTGGGTCCCTTCTTTGTCCCTTTCAATTCTCCATCCTGTTCACAGGTCCACCCCCACCATCCTTGCTGTGTGGAGGAGGTTTCTGCAGGCAGGTTGTCTGCAGGGTAAATCCCTCTCCCCTCAGAGCCCACTCCCTTAGCCCCACCTACTCACTGCATCAGGAGCCAGGAATGTCTGTGGGGGCAGCAGACAGGTATGTCACCCTAGGGGTGTCAGAGGCTGATTCATCTTTCATCTCCACCCAATCTTCCCCTGGCCCCTCCCTCTCTGGGAGATTTAACTCTTCGTTTGTCTGAGATAAAGAGGGAGTTCCAGGCTCAGAGTCATTGCCTCTGACTAGGGACAGATGAGGGCATTCAATAACTGTTGCCAGAGAAGGAAAGAGGGAGGGTAAGAAGGAAAGACACATTTCCTTCCTCACCCAGGGAAAACCGACCTGAAAGTTGTCTGACTGTAGACTGAGCTCAGAGTGAACTCTATGACCCGCTCCGTGCCCGGGAGACGCACCCTGACGCCATCGGTGCTCACCTGGGCCTCCTGAAGGAGAGGAGGGAAGCCTTCCAGGCAACAGTCAAAGTGGAAAAAGGAGCGTTTCCTTTGGGGCGCTGAAGTAATTGGGGCTCCCCAGTGCTTTCACCCATGGGCGGGGGCTGGTTATGTTGGACATGATGTGTCTGAAGCTACTCATTCATTGTCTCCTCTCAGGAGGGCTGGGGAGGGCAGAGAATCTTGAAAATCTCCCCTCCTTCCTCTTCCTCCCAGAGCCGATGGCGGTGGGCAGTTGGGTTAATTCAGAACAGCTGAGGGCAAAAGGGTGCGTTTCAGGACTGACCTCCCAGGGAATCTTCCTGTCTGGACTACAGCCTCTCCAGTCACCTAAGGCACCTTCCTGGTGTCGCTGGAGCCCTAATTTCTAATGTCACTTGGTTAGCAGAGAAGATCGATCAAGTTCCTCCTCCGGCACTGCAGAAGGTATTTCCAATGACCACGGGAGGTCTCTGCGCGAGAAGGCCATCTTCATACATTGTCTGTGAACTTTGTGAAGTCACTCATCTGGAAAGCATTTTGGCTATACATCATTGAGTTCAGTTGCAGAATTTTATCACAAAGAAAATAAACTCAAAAGATGTCAATCATAGTACTACTTGCAATAGTCATGGAGTATGTTCCAGTTCAGAGGGACTCTGTAGGACACAGGACTGCCCCTGTGGGGTTCTGTGGCTGTCAGCCTTTACAAGAGCAGAAGGTCTCATCTCCCAGAGAGGCTGGTGGGCTTGAGGCTAGCAGCTCAACGCACAACCAGCTGGGCTCCGTCAAGTATCAGTATTCTAACCAAGGACAAGTAAACACACAGCCATGCCCTGGGCTATACGATGCAGCATGACAAAGGTTGTCTGTTTTGGTGTTAGGCGCTGTCTAGTCGTTGCTGACTCAACAGCAACACAGTGTACAACACAACAAAGCACTGCCCATCCCCACACTCATTGTCATGTTTAAGCCTATTGTTGTAGTAACTGCCAAGCCATCTCCTCCCGGGTCATTGTTTTCTGCTGGCCTTCTATCTTACCAACCCTGACGTCCCTTCCAGAGACTGGTCTCTCCTGATAGCACGTCCACAGTATGTGAGATGGAGTCTCCCCTGCCATCCTTGCTTCTAAGGAGCATTCTGGCTGTATTTTCTTCCAAGATTGATTTGTTTTTCTGGCAGTCCATGTACTTTTAATATTCTTCACCAGCTCAAATGCATTATATTAACTCTTCTTTCACACAGGAGGCCACTGAAAAGTAGCATGGCTTTGGTCGGGTGCACTTGAGTTCCACGAGTGACATCCTTGCTCAGTCTTTTCAAGGTCTTGTGCAGTTCTGCCCAGGGCAATGTCTCCTTTGCGCTCTTGGCTGCCGTGAGCACTGACTGTGGAAGCCTGGAGCGTCGATCCTTCCTTCCTGTCACCATGAGGTGTCCGTTGGTCTCGGTGTGAGGATTCCGGTTTCTAGATGTATTTGTTGCAAGTGAAAAAGGAATGAGAGAGAGAGAGTGTGTGTGTGTGTGTGTGTTTGTGTTGTGAATTTACCAAATCTCTTGGCTTAGCGCTTTTTCTATAACATTTCACCTTAAAATGGTATGTGATTCAAAGCAACTTGTATGGAACATTTTCAGTGAAAGGAGTCATAGAAATGTTAAGCATCATACTTGTCCTGTTGTCACAAGGACCCTGGATCTAAAACAAACAACAAAACATTTTCCCTGAAATTCTAGAGAAAATGTAAAAAAATTTTTTCTTTTTAATTATAACTCCTTACTCTGCCCTCTCCCCACCTCTCAGCTCCTGGTAACCATTAAATCTACTTCTATTTGGTAATTACATGATACTGGGGTAAAAAAAAAAAAAAGGCTTAAAGGGCTCACAGGCGACTTAGTTTTCTCTTCACTTCCCACGTTAACAGGAAAGGAAATCCAAAAGGAGACCTTCAGAATGGCTGCCAGGTGCCAGTCACATTGGGACCCTCTCGCAGCCGAGTGGGCTTCACCTGGCCCCGCAGCCCTTCCTCCCTTCTCTTCCCCAGCAGCAGCACAGGGGACAGAAACTCTCTGATGGCTGTGGGAGGTCGGCCTAAGCGATTTACAGAGAAAGCGCCCTTGCTGTCTCATGAAGGTTTGAAATACAGTTCTGGACCATTTCCATCCTCCTCCGTGGCTGCAATCAGAAATGCTTAGGGTGCCTGGATACGAGTCATGAAGTTCTCCTGATGCCTCCCGGTCCCCACGCCTGGTTTGCTTTGGTGAGGGTGAGGGCGAGGGCGAGGGCGAGACTGAGGGCCTCTGCGAGGTGGCGAACATTAAAACCCACGACCACAGCACCCACCCGCACGCCGCAGCTAATGAGCCATTTGCTCAGCAGCCTGGGCGTCAGGACCCCTGGGTTCCGGGCTCCGCAGTGACTCACACAGTGAGCACCAGGCTGTGCCTCCCGGCCTCAGTTTCCCTAGCTTGCTGTTGATACTCCCCACCTACTGTCCAGGTGTTAATAGGGGTGAGGTGCTTTGAACTCCTCAGATGAAAGAGGCTGGAGGGCAGTACCCGGTCATTATCCCCTGACCAGCCAGGCGTGGGAGCGGAGGTCCCTGCTTTTAAACCCTGAGCCACAGGGGCCTCCTCTCCAGCCTTCTGCTCTGGCGTCCAAAACTGCAAGGCCAAACGGAGCTGCCCCATCTCGTTGCCACTGCAACATGAGTTTACTAGACTGGGCAGCTGTCCAGGGGCCCCCCCGCGAGCGGCTTCCCGGCCTCCAGCACTCAGTCCAGTCGAGCCTCACAGGTGCTGTGGGGTCTTCTCCTGCTGGCCATGCTGTCTGGGGGCCCTGGGACCTCTACAAACAAGTGAGCAAATGAGGGCACTTGGAGGGAGTAAGCCAAGTCGGCCGCCGGGCTCGCCAGGGTGACCCAAATTCAAACTGAAATAGGGCTTCGTAACATTCCCCACCTCCCTCTAGGGGTTGCCGAGAGCCGCAGGAGGCCCGTGTGCGCAAGCACCTTGTATACTTCCACACACTGCGCGGACCCTCAATAGCTTAAGGAGACTCCTGGCACAACAGCCTTCACAGTTCATGTGTCACCACCTTCTGCTGCCAGGCTGCAACCTCAAGTGAGCCTGTGCTGCCACCTATTGGCCAAAATGGTGAACTGGCACCAACCAGATGCAAGAGCAAAAAAAGCACCCTGTGCACGGCTGTCTCAACTTCGAGCCATCTGGCCAGTTTTTACCACACCCTCATAAAACCTGCCGTATCAAATACATACTTAACGTTTTTCTTTAAATAAGCTCACGTATGTAACTTCGTATTTAATGTAAGCTTTTAATCAGCACAATAATGGAAACTTTGTTTGGAGGAAGTGTCACATAAATAGTGGGTGCGAGTGAAGTGCTGTGGGGAGCTCTAGGTGGACAGACAGTGTGACGCGGAGGAGGAAGGACTGCACACACGGGCTGGAGGGCCCTTGCTCTGCCAGCAGCTGTCCTGGGGCACACACGACGCTCGTGTAGAAGCCAGCCACGAGGGCGGGCAAGGTGGCCCCTGCAGGTAAGGGGAGAGATGCTCCTTGTTCTGTCCCAATCCCCTGGGCTTGGATGCGGAAGGAAAAGTCTGGAAGCCACAAGAAGTATAAACTCTTGTATTGAAGCCAATCTGGGGCGGGCCAGCGCTGTAGGTTGGCCCAGAGCTCACGAGGCCTCCAAGGGCCTGGGTGGGCTCTCTGCTCAGGGCTGTTTGGCTTTGTCTTGCCAGTCGCTTTTTACAGAACTGTCTCCTTGCTTCCCCCACTTCTGGCAGGTAGGATTGGCTCTTGGTTCTGTAGCCTGCTGGGCTGTCCACTCCGCCAGGAGCTTCTGTGCCCCAGGCTGTAGGGTGAGTCCTGAGCTCAGGGCCCAGCTGTGGCTTAAAGCTGCCTGGCTTCCTGCTGCACTGGCTGGTCCGAGGGTGTCAGGTACTTCTCCTGGATGCCCAGTGTGCTGCAGGACAGCCTGTCAAGGAGGACACTGGAAGCAAGAGGAGGGGGAGCTGGTCTGGGCAGGACCTGAGCCCCATGATGTTCACCACGCCCCCCAACTGTGTCTGCCATCTTCCTCCTCCGCCTTATAGCTTCAGGCCACAGGCACAGGAGGTCAATTGGGCCCAAGAAATCCCCACAGCACAGGGACCCAAGTGCTCCGGCATGTCTTCCCCACGGGGCTCAGGATCGAAGCGCTCACCTCCTCCTGGCTGGGGCTTAGTGCTCATACTCTGGAACCAGACTGCAGGGTTCACACCCCGATTTTGCCACTCATTCCCAGCTGAAGCCTTGCTCCAAAGGCTATAAGACAATGGCTTCTCTGGCCACACTTACAATTCATCTGCCCAACAGCTGTAACTTCTACCTTTCTGGCGAGGGAGGGAACTTATGGGCGCTCAGAGGAAGTGACACTGACCTCTCTCGGACCTCAATACCAGCTTCACTAAGAATGGGGCTGCCACACTGCAGACTGATATGGCCGCCTGAGGTCTGGGCGGTCACTGGTGGGGACTGGCTGGGAACTAGAATTTAAGGCGCAGGACTCGAATTCTAACCGCCAGGGATGGCTAGCTTTGAACTGTCCCCAACACATCCCGAGAGGGACTATCACTCTACCTGTAAGCCACTGCTGTCAAATGAACTCTAACTCAGTGGCCTTAGAACAAAACTGCACCACAGGGCTCCCCCGCTGGAATCTCCCTCCCATTGTGGCGGGGGTCTGCAGAAGTGACCACCAGCCTGTGCCTCACTCACACTGCCAGGGCTGCCTCAGCCTCCTCTCGACCCCAAACCTGCCACTGCTGACACCTCAGAGACCCATGAGGACAGATAGGGTATGGCCTCTTTGGCTGCCAAAGCTTTCGATCTTTACTGCGGGAGCAGGCAGCCTTTGCAACCAGGCACCTGTGCCTCCTCTAGAACCCAAGAGGGGCTGATGGCGGTTAGGAGAGACACTGCAAGTGGAGAACTTCGCCACAAGGAAGGCACTGGCCATTCTCTGTTCCTTCTAGCCTATCCACCTCAGGGCACCGTGGCCCGGGGGCCCAGTCCAGGGACTCCCCCCCTCCCTCCTGTCCCCACAGGGAGCCACCGGGCGCAGATGAGGCTCTGCACTCACTAACAGCAGCAAGAGGCTTCCAAAGTTAGCAGGGAGTTTATCACCGTGTTTGGGTCATTGTTTCAAAGTTTCTCAATGTTTACTTTCCCGCCTTTCCTACATCCTTATTCTTACCGAGTCCTTCTAGCTTTCTCAATCGGTTGCATATGCATTCTTTTCAAAGAACACAAAGCCCCTCCTCAAAACTACCCTGGACGATCTGTCTCGCTCACCTCCATCTTCTTCAGGAAGGGCGGCCCTGAGAATCACTCCCCTTGCTGACTCAGAAAGCGTCCTCAGGAAGCAGACTCCTCAGCAGAACCCATGAAGCCCCTCATTCTGCCCACGGCCTGTCGACTGGAGCGCAAAGCCCTGACCTCGAGCTGCCCTTCTACTCTCAACCCCAAACGCGCTTCCACCTTGAAGCCCACACTTTGATTTCCGCCCTGAGCCTCCTTCCTCTCTGAATTAGCTGCCTGACCCCCACTTAGAGCCGATGCAACTCAGGCATACAGCCTCCAACAAGCGCTCCTTTACTCCCCCTCCAGCACCACCACCCGCACCACCCGCCCCTGCCCCCTGCACGGGATGGAGCTGATGAGAAGTGAGTGGGGTGGGGTGAGAAATCCGCACAAATGTATACAAATAAAATACCCGGAAATTTCCTTAAACCAAGCACTCAGCGTACAGTGTACCTGGGCTTGTGAATACCATGTAGGCAGCGTGAAGACAACACGATTTGAATTGCTGCCTCTGTGGTTGCTGAGAACATGCGGCTGATCTTGCCACCAGTACCTGTTGTCTGAGCACCCGCACTCGACAGGCTGCCCCTAGGACTCCTCTGTCCCCGGTGAACTTGGCTTCTCCTGTGCGAAGGGGTCTGACACAGATCATTACATTGCTGGTGAGCATTATTTCCCTTCATGCTTGGGCCCCCTAGGTATCTAACATCCGTGTTTAGACCCTAAATCTCTGAGACCATCAGCCCAGAGGGCCTGGCTCTCGGTGTCTGCCTCATGTGTGGCCTTTGACACTCTGCCCAGGCTTTTGGCCTCACCCCTACTCACCACTAAACCAGTCTTAGCTCTAGCCGCCTCCTGGACACCCTCTCTGTCCCCACTCACAGCAGCACGGCTACAACCTCCTGCCCCAGGGACAGGATTTGTGTGCCCCAGTCACTAACACACCCCTCACCCCCAGTCTATGCTGGAAATGGTGGGAGTCTACATTCTGCTCCAGCGCCACCTACCATACCCACCAGTCAACACCTGGGCACCAGACAGTCGATTTTGATGCACAGGGATCCCGGTGCGTTCAGCCCACACCCTTCTCTCTACTTTCACTGCCAAGCGCACCCCTCATCTCCTAAAGGAAAATGACCACCCTCAGTCTCAGGCACGGCCCTCAAAGGCATTTCCTCACTGTTATGAAATGGACTGCAGGTACCACCCCACCTGCCCACCAACAAAGGCGATGTAAACTCCCACAGGTATCATCCCATACACTCATAAGGTAATCATATTGCAGAAGGCTCCTGGTGGAGTAGGGGGTGACAGGCTGGGCTGTTAACCAAAGTGTCAGCAGTTCAAACCCACCAGCCACTATGTGGGAGAACTTGTTCCTGTCAAGATTTATAGAAACCCACAGCAGCAGATCTACTCTGTCCCACAGGGTCCCTTTTACAGGTCACGTTCACAGTGTGAATGTCAACAGTGCCTCAAGATCATCTCTTTTGAGGCATAAAGGGAAGAATAAGCAAGAAGCAAACACAGTTGGGGAAATGAGCTGCCACGCCCCCAAGTCTACCCCAAACCAAGGAACAGAAGCTGAAAGCAAGTGACATGGGCCTGCGCTGGGAGCCAACAGGGCCCAAGCTTTCCCGCAGAGCAGGTGTTTTGAGTTCCGACGTGAGAAGACGTGTCTGTGTGTGAAACCCCTCACTCGTGGTGGTTCTGTTACAGCAGCACCAGAGAACAAAGACACACAACAGAGGCCTCTTCCTAACACAGACAGCAGGACCCGAGTTTCACTCCTTCACCCTCGAGCTACGTTCACATGGCTTAGCAGGGCTCTCGGCCCTCCATCGCCAGCCCTGCCTACCGCCCCGGCCCCCCTGCAGCTCCTGCCACGGCTCACTCAACATGCCAGGCAGCCTGCCCCCTGCGTTTCTCCCTGCCCTCTTATTACTGGGTTTCTGAATTTGTTATCCTATCTGTTTCCTCTCTGCTCGGGTCTGATCAATGGAAGCATTGCGAAGACCTTGAACATGAAAGACAATCAGCAGGGAGCCCACAGGTCAATAGAAAACCAGTCCTCTACAAAGCTGTGCCCCTCCACCCCACAAGCCCCACGGCTCGCCCTCTTGGCTGGGGCCAGGAAAAGGGTAGGCCCGAAAGCAAGGATACGAGGAGAAATGGAAGTCGGCTCCCATTGCGGCAGACATCATGGCCTCCAGGCTGCGCTGCTCTTGGACCCCGAAGCAGTAGCCATTGGCTTTATCCACAGCCTGTAGCACTCGCTGGATGCTCTCCTTGTCCTGGGGGCAGCAGAAACAGCTCTGAGTGACGGCCCAGGTGTGCAGAATGGAGGCCACACCAATGGCTCCCAGTCTCCAAACACATCACCCTCACCGAAAACAGACAGCTTCGGTGGCTTGGCTGAAGCCCTCCTCCCTGGCCACCGGCCCACCCAGATTGGAACAAATTCATCCTCAGTCCTTCGTACGCACACCAACAACGACTGATCTCGCCAGTTTTAAGAAAAGCCTTTTTTGATGCTGTTTTTGGTGAAGGCTGACGCAGCAGTTGAGGTTTCCAGGCAATAGTCTCTATACCAGGTGCCCAGTGACTGCGCTGGTCGGAACCTTCACGGGGCAGGAGCACGCCCCTTACTTCTATTCAGGCTGGTCCCTTTCCATTAATCTAGTTCCCTGTCTCCCGTCTCATCTTAATTATCAAAGTAACTATTGATTGTTCGGCCAATGTTACCGTCTTGGGAGTGCCTACTCACTCGTCCGCTTCCTCTACTTCACTGTACACCCCTGGAGGTCAAGGACAGGCTGACTGAGGCATCTCCAGAACCTGGCCCAGTCCTTAGCTAAAGGAGGCACCCGGTGGGCATCCGTGTTACATAACCTGGCTCCAATGTCTCCTCATCCACGTAACAGTGGTGACAAGAGTTCATACACCAGATGGTAGGAAAGGCAAACCGAACTCATGGCCAACGAGTTGATCCTGACTCACAGCGACCTTGTAGGACAGAGGAGAACTGACCCCTTGGGTTTCTCAGGCTGTAAGTGTTTATAGGAGCAGAGAGCCTCATCTTTTTCCTTCGGAGTGGCTGGGTGGTTTGAACTACTGATCCTGTGGCCAGTAGCCCAACATGTAACCCAGCTCGCTGATGGGCAGGACAGTAATGCACATTCAGCCCTTAGCATAGCGCTTGGCCCGAAGAAGCCCTTCCATAAATGGTAGCCGTTATCAATTTCCTCATCTTAGAGGAGAAAGGTATGGCATTAGGAAGAGGATACATGTTAGCTCAATACCAAACAGACAGGCATCACAGCCTGCTAGGCCCTCTATTCAAATTCTGCCCACCACAGCTCCAAGGAGACCCAGTGATAGTGAGGGTGAGGACAAAGCCCACTGGCTAGTTCCCCAGAGTTTCCTGTCCCCTGACGACATGAGGTCCCAGGCACCGTCAGAGCCTACAGCCAAGGGGAAGGGGCCTGGTCCTCAGTACCTGGATGTTGAGAGGGATGAAGGAGACCAGGCTGTAGTCTTCAATGAGCTGCACCAGTTTCTCATTGAGCTGGCGGTAGTGGCGGAAGAATGGGTCAGAGGCCAGGTGGTCCAGCAGGTAGGAGAGGTCCAGAACCTCTGTATAGTAGTCCAGGTTGAAGGCTACAGGGAGAGGGAGAGAGAGAGAGGGAGGGAGGGAGAGGGAGAGAGGGGGAGGGGGAGAGAGAGAGAGAGATTGAGATTGATTGATTCCAATTGCCGCTGGCCACAGGTTCAAGACCAAAGAGCACACGTTCTTTCATTCCTTGCTCTCAATGACCGAGGCAGTCCTGAGAGAGGATAGATAGGCTTTACCTGTCAGCTCTGCCATTTAACAGCTATACAGGCAGGTACCCTTCTCAAGGGGCTGTTTTGAGAATTAAATGTGGTTAACACCCCTCTACAAGTAAATGCTCGACTAACGGCAGTAAATAATGACAATAAACATGTAGGGAGAACTGTGCTTGGTACTGGAACCAGATGGGGAGCACAGTCCCCACCTTGGGGAGCTCAGTCAGGCAGCACCCCTGGGTTTCACACTGGCCATACTGAGATACAGACTCTATCCGCGGTGACCAACCAACCAGAAGGATCGTCTCTTGGGCAAACCACTGCCTATTCTGGGGGTGTTCCTTCTCAATGTAAAATGAAGAGACCAGATAAGACGGTTCTGAGGTCCCTAGTTCAGTTCTCTGAATACACTCCTCATACGGAAAGAAGGAATTTGCAACGCCTGCGTTCTGCACGGCCCCTCCAGGCCCAGGAAATGCCAGCATTTGAGTTGTTTGGCAAGTCTGTCCCAAAGCAAGCTGGGGGAATCAGATGGTCAATACACCAACACCTCTGCCTCCAATCCAACCAGCAACTGGCTCATTAGAAACAGACTTCTCCTTCCTACAAGAAGGGAGAGTTATGGTCTCAGAAACTCACGAGGGCAGTTCTACCCTGCCCTGTATGGTCGCTAGAGGCCAGCATCCACTTGATAGCTTTGAGTTTGGTTTGGTTTGGATCCTAGGAGAATGGATGGGCTTGCTTTATATGGACATTTGCTGGACTGCCCAACTGGTGTGCTTTTCCCCGAGAATTGGAAACTGCAGCAAGACACATCAGGACGCGGGGCTCCATCGAGCTGGCTGACGAGCTTTGCCACTGGCCCACGTCTATGCAGATACTATCTCTGGACCTCAGTCTCTTCGTCTGGATCAGTCTCTTGTGAGAAAGACTTATTAAGACTCCGCTGAGCTAGGGTCGTCGAACCACCAACCATTTAGCCGCCTGCGCTGCAGGCTGTGGAGAAGGTCAACTTGGGAAGACTCCACATCCGAGTGGAGAAAAACAGTGACGTTTCTGTGGTTGTCTAGAGATGGACCCAGAGCCAGGCTGAGGGGGCTCCTCCAAGGGGCTGGCACACCTCTATGTCCTTCCTAACAGGTGGCCAGTCAGCTTCTCTGGTAAAGACCCCGGCCTTTTTCCTTTCCTAACAACTTCCTTCCCTGCTCAGACCCCGTCACTTAGATCATCTTCAGGCTCCTTGTGGCTAAAGATACTAAGGGTGCTGATGCCCGCAGCTCGGCTGAGCACTCCATGCTGGCTACTGGCCCCAGGCAGGTCCGACCTGCTCCTCTGACAAATGGTCCCCTCACATATCCACTGGCTCGGTCTATAAGCAGTCAGCCTCAGTTCCTGGCTCCCAATCTAGCAGGCCATCGGACACAGAGTGGTTCACAACTCCTGGGAGGGCTCAGGACCTGCCTAAGGCCATTATCATCAGGTCATGCACACACGGTTCAAAACAGCTTGCTGCGGTGACAGGTGCATATTGCTTTCTCACAGCTGCCTTACCCCTTGGCGGACAAGCTCGGAGCCCTTACCCAGTCTCCCATAGTGCTCGATGAGGTCCAGCTTGGAGAGGAGGTTGACATGGGGCAGCTCCACGTGTAGCATGGTGGCCAGGGAGGTGCACAGGACTGAGATGAACTTGGCCGGGTCCGTACAGTAGTGAGAATCGACCAGGTGGACAGCAGTCAGCTGGAAGGGAAGGGAGAGTGAGCGCGGCCTGGGGAGGGGCAAAGTCAGGGCTTTTATCTCCCTGCCCTTCCTTCGGGTGGGGGTCCTGAGTGCAGAGTGCAAGCCAAGTCTTCCCCACCAGTCTCCTCTGGCTTGTTTTTGTACTAGCTCCCCTCCTCCCCCAGGGGAAATGCAGTGTTGTTCCTTGTGCCTGGCCTGAACCTTCCATTGAGCACAACTGGTCTGCATCCCCGAGTGACTCCCATCTTCCCCCTAACTTATGCCACTGTCACCACCCATCTTCCCCACCATCACTTCTCTGCTTTCAGGAATGCAGCACTGGGGGCCACAGATGGAAACGTGGAGGTTCAGGGGAGTGGCAGAGCCAGAACAGGTGTGAGCCTGTTTTATTCCAAAGCAACTGTGCCGGTCCCCCTATCTCGCTATGTGAGGTTGTGTGTGTGAGAGGGGGCGAGTGTGTGTGTGGGGGGTGGGGGTGGGGGGGCACCTGCCCTCCTCTCTTAAGTCTCAGTTCCTCCACAGTGCCTTTGCAGAGTGGGCCTGCCAGACCCAAGACGCACCCTGAGGTCCCACCGCGCCATCTGGGAGAAGATGTTGCGCAGGGCGCCGTGGTGCGTGCAGAGCTCCACCTGGCCAGGGCAATCGAAGAGGAAGTAGTGGCCGCGGAGGGGGCTGAGCTTGGCCCGCAGCCAGTCCAGGTTGGCCTCGAGGTACTCCATGCAATAGAGCAGGCCGCCGTTGGGCCCCAGCTGCAGGGCGTCCATCACGTCGCCCAGCCCCACGAGCTCGCCCACGTCCACGGCGCACTCGTACGGCAGTCCTTCGTTGGCCGGGTCCAGATTCACCACAGCCACGCGCCGGCCCAGCGCGCGCAGGAACTCACTCATGCCCAGGCAGTACGTGGTCTTCCCCGAGCCTGGCGGGCCGATCACCACCTGCCCGAAGGCCGGGGTCGGGGCAGCCCCAGCCATGGCCAGAAGCCGGCCCCAGTGCGGAGCAGGGTAGGCCGGCTCGAAACCGACGGAGGACCCGGGCCAGAGGCGAGGCCCGCGGCGCAGCGCGCCCTGGCCCCAGCGAGCGCTTCGCCAAGGCCGTGCAGGATCCTGCGAGTCGCCGGGAGGCAAGCGGCGCAAGAGGAGCCAACGAACCGCCACCGACAAGGGCACGCCGGAAGCGGGAGTGGCTACAAGAGGAAGTCCCGCCCTCACGGAGGTGACGCGAGGTAGCGGCGACAGGGCGTGGCCACGCAGCCGCGATTTAACCTCTGAAGTGCGGGCAGGGATCTTTCAAAAGATTTCCACTAACTTCCTCCAGGCCCAAATCAGAAGACAAACAGAAAACTTCGTCGTAAACTTTATTCTCCTTTAGGTCGCAGGTCTGGGCTTCTCTGGCAGTCTCAGCCGTCTCGTGCAGACAGATGGGCAGAGGATTAGAGGCTGTGGACTCCCCAAGACTCCATTCTTGGTCCCCTTAATTCTTGGGGGACCCTTTCAAGGGCCTCGAGGAAGGGTATGCACCTCCCTTTGGTCAATCCAGGTTTTCAGGGCTTATATATATATTTAAAATCCCGAGGTAGAGAACCAGAAGGCAAGTTCAACACAAAGCCCCCTGGATACGCAGCCCACTGCCTGAGCGCTCAAGTGGAAGATGAGGCTAAGCGGTATCTTGCAGTCAAAGGCTCCTGCCTGGCCTTATCACTCAGGCTCTGAGACACTGTCCAAGGCACAGCTGGAGCCCTTCACAAAGGGCACATCTGTCCGGAACTTCATGCTGGTGGGCAGCTGGCGGCGGAGCAGTGACTCATGCTGGTCCTGAGGCAGAGGCTCATCATAGATGGTGGAGATGAGCCCTAAGCCCATTCCGCGGGGCCTCTTCAGTTGTCCAAATGGCTGTAGCTTCTCCCCATGGTATCTGAATAAAGAAGAACTCTGTGTCCCCTCTCTCACACACCTCAGTACAGGACAGTAACTCGCCCATATCTGGTTTACTCCTAAACCAAAAACACAAACTCAACGCCGCTCAGTCAATTCTGACTCCAAGCGACCCTTTAATAGCAGAGTAGAACTCCTGTGGCTTTCCAAGGCTATAAACCTTGAGAGGAGTAGAAAACCTCACCTTCGGCCAGCAGAGCAGTGATTTTGAACTGCTGATCTTGCAGTTAGCCCTCAATGTGTAATCCACTACCACTACACAAGGGCTCCTGCCCCAAAGGCAAAGCCTTTGACTCTGGATCTGGGCGCCCTCATCTACCGATGGGGAGTGCCAGCATCCCAAGGCCTCACAGTGTTCCCTTCGCTACCACCTGCTCCAGGACTTCAAGACTCCGTCAGGGCAAGCACATCAAGGTCAAACCCCTCAAATCCAGAGGGGTGTGCGTGTGTGAGAGAGAGAGAGAGAGAGAGCGACTCATAAGGAATCATTAATTGTTATGTCGTAATGCTTGGCCTTAAAAAAGCAAAGGGGAAAAGGGGGCAAAAAAAAAAAAAAAAAGGAAAGGGCCACACCTACTTCCTCCTCTTCATTCTGTTTTGAAGTTTATCTCAGTCTCCAGCACCCATCCCCCAAACGGTGAGAAGGCAGTGGAAACGAGTATAGTTGAAAGGCTGGCTTAGGCCCCAAGGCAGCTCCTCTGGTACACTCACCCTAATCCACGCTTGCATCTGGGGTGCTGGCCTTCACTATCCAGGGCCTCAGGCACCCCTGAGCATCTGCTGCCCAGGCCCCGGCCCTCAGCCCAGCCGTGCCGTTCCATCACCTTGCGTCCAATACCCTGCAGTGGGAAGAGACGAGACTCAGACGGGTTGGGGGGGTGAGGGGGAAGGCACTGGGCAGGGAGAGAAGAGGGGCTGATGGGGTGGGCACAGTGCTCACCTTGGTGTGACGTTCAAAGGTGCCCACCTGGCCCTCCATTACAGAGCCACGCTCTTGGCCGTCTCGGCGTCTCTGTTCCAGACGCATCTGGACAGAGTCTCGGGCATCTTTGTCTCCACCATCTGAGAAAACACAGCCGTTTGAGGGAGGGTCCTTTTCAATAGGAGGTGGGGGAAAGCAGGTTTCTAAGAGCCCCGTTGTAGATTTATTTTTATGGGGCTGTGACATCACCTTATCTTGCTCATTGGGTTGGGAACTGGCCACAGATAGGGGCCATGTCTCCATCATTTTACAGATGAGGAAGTGATGGTGAAGAGAAGCCATCTTCTTGCCTTATCGAGCCAACTGTGATGTACACAGGGCCCCGATGGGCGAAGGAGACCTGCCCCTGTGGGTTTCTGAGGCTGTTAGCTCCCCACGGGAGCAGAAAGCCCCACCTTCCTCCCAGGAGCGGCTGGTGCGTTCAAGCTGCTGCTGTGTGGTCCGTCGTCCAGCATGAGCCACGGCCCCTCCAGGGAACCTTAGAGGAGTGCCAGAGTCCGCAGAGACAGAGCTGGGATTAGAACCCAGATGCTACACTCTTAGCCAGAGCCCACGCTCTTGAGCAGCCCACTCTCCGGGGGCGGCCCCTCAGACCCTGCACTCCCTGTGGTGGTGCCCACCTGCTCTTCCTCCTGCACAGAGTCAAGGAGGCTCTGCCTGCCACCAGCATGGATACATCCAACTACAGACAAATCCTTTTAGGGGGCTACCCCGAGGGACAGTCACGTCTTAGTCTCTGTTACATCCCAAGGCTAGGTTTTACCTCCCAGGATTGCGAGCCGCGCCCGGGCCATTACCTCTGTCATAGTACACACTCATGTCCACATCCCAGTCATCAGCCGTCTGTTCATCAAAGTCTGCAGAGACATAAACGCATCACCAGACCGGGCTGAGGACGCTCAGTTCTGTTGAGTGCAATACAGAGTGAGATACATGTTCTAGGACTGAGAGCGTTGGTGTGTATGTTTAAATCTCTCCTTTAATAGGAGGTTCACCTGACATGGAGAGGGGAGGTTTCCCTCAATCCCACTGATCCGCCCCCCTCCCTTCCATCCCCAGGAAGTCACCACGCCTAACAGGGAACCTCTAGAGCCGAGTGCGGGCCTGACCTCCTTCTTCCTCCTGCCAGAACTGGGCGTCAGTGTAGAACACCAGGCCGGAGCCGCCCTTCTCCCACTTGAGCTCGATCTCCTCTTCAAAGAGCCGCTCCGCTGTGCGCTCCTGCCCGGTCACGTCCTCGTGGAGGGCTTCGTGCCGCTCCCACTCCTCACACCGGTCGTCGTCCTGCAGAGGGGACAGGCGGTCAGCGTCCTGACCTTGTGCCCAGGAAGAGGCAGCCTAGGACGCAACTAAGTCTCTGAGCCCAGCCTTTGGCGCCATTCCTTCACTTCTCTGAGAAGCGGTACATACAAGGGGCTCCAAAAAGTTTGTGGGGAAAGTGCCGATCCCATCATCTTTAAATTCTGTTTTCCCAACAACTTGCAGATGGCACTGGAGGCCTTGCACGCGCCTCCACCCTCCCCAAAAAATCACCATCCCAATTATTTCTCAACACACATTGCTCTCTCCGTTATGGATGGAACTGAGTTCAGATCAGTGTCAAGTGCGTCTCTCTTGAGAGATCAAAGGCTTTACAGCAGGGCTTGGAGCTGGTCTGAAATGGTTCAGGCGGGGCCCCCACTCAGAAACGACTGTGGCTGGCAGTTTCCCACTCAAGCAAAGTCTGTCTGACACAAGAGATGTGATAGCAGGGACAGGCAAGGCCCTAAGCTCTGTCGGCCATGATGGGACTGTTTCCAAGTCCTGAATTAAACAAGCACGAGAGAGAGGGAGAAAGAGAGAGAAGGGGGAGACACCTGCCAGGCCACACGGAGAGCGGCCACAAGCAGCAGCTCAGTGGAGACAGGTCCTTCCTCCAGGGCTGACGAAGAAAGCAGCTTCCCAACATGGGTGAGACCACCTCCCAGGAGGTGGGTGGAATGGTCCAAGTGGGCTGCGAAAACAGATACCTATACTTTATCCTGGATTATGGGCTAGAGTATGAATGGCTTTTATTGCCTTGGGGAGGCCGAGCTTTTTTTTTGTTCCCTGAAAAGGGGGTGGTCTGCCTGTAAGTGTGGGAACCTATGTCCTAGAGCCTGCATTTGGCACTCACCCCCAGACTCTGAGAAAGTAAACGGGGG